ATTTTTTTTTATACTGGTTACACTACTCTCGGATAGCATATAATAGATCTAGAGATTTAGCAAAAAAAAAAAACAAAAAAAAACAACAAATTAATAATTTATAAGTTTAAAATAAAAGTACAATGCGATTGAATATAGGCGTATAATTAAATAAGAATTTTTAAACATCCGAACGTAATACAATAAATGAATAATACTAATGTGTTTGTCATTTTATCCCCCCCCCCCACTCTCTCTCCGGTTGCGATTAGCATAATTTATTCCTACTATCCAACTGGCGTCGCTTTAATTTGACAACAATAATGGTGGTATTTTTTTTTAAATTTTAAAATAGGCCACGTTCCACTGATACCAGATCTATAACATACTGACTGTATAGCATGGGATACACTAGTGCCAGATAATGCTACAGTAAACCAACATTTTAAAACGGGGTTTAGGTTACGGATAAGCAAAACCATTAACTACTATTACCTGCTAATGTCAAAGCTTATCTTAACCAGGTGTATGTGTACTACCAGTGTTCGATAATGGCATAAGTTTACCTTAAAGAGGGAGTGTCAGGTTACTAGTAGTTAACTAAATTTAAATATGAATGGATGTCAACCCTAACCAAGTCTTACCATAGTGCCCATTACCCTAACCCTAATGCCTGACCTCAACACTAAGATTACTCTAAGTAGCAACAATGTAATTTAAACACACCTATATTCGTTAGAATCTATCGACCGACATAAGTTATACACACGCCCTATCCTTTAACCCCAAACCCAGACCAAACTATCCATTCACATGCCGTGGTCACCAACACAGATAAACTCTACTTCACCAGCCCCATGGTCCGTACGTTTCGAAAAGGTACGTTACTTTTTAAAAACCCAAACCCTGTTAAAACTCTAACCCTAATTCTAGTCCCAAAACATTAAAAACTGTTCAGCTAGTTTTGGGATTCGTTGTCGAACATATTTAAGGAAAAATATTCAGACAATCAGCTGGTTATTACCATTTTAAAAGTACATGCACATGCATACAAAAACATGCTAAAAACAACAGAAAAAAAAATATGTATTTGGGTGGTATTGACTATCAACTAAATGGTAAAATTTCCGGGGGGGGGGGTGTTTTTACACTTTAGCTAACCACACCCAGGTTAAACATAAACCCCAACACTATAGCTTACAACAGCCAAGTTAAACCTAAACCCTTACACTATAACTAACCACATCTAGGCTAAACCTAACCCTTACACTATAACTAACCACAGCTAGGTCAAACCTAACCCTTACACTATAACTAACCACATCTAGGTCAAACCTAAACCCCAACACTATAGCTTACAACAGCCAAGTTAAACCTAAACCCTTACACTATAACTAACCACAGCTAGGCTAAACCTAACCCTTACACTATAGCTAACCACAGCTAGGTCAAACCTAACCCTTACACTATAACTAACCACAGCTAGGTCAAACCTAACCCTTACACTATGGCTAACCACAGCCAGGTCAACCTGAACCCTTACACTATAGCTTACCACAGCTAGGTCAAACCTAACCCTTACACTACACTATAGCTTACCACAGCTAGGTCAAACCTAACCCTTACACTATAGCTTACCACAGCTAGGTCAAACCTAACCCTTACACTATGTTTAACCAGAACCAGGTTAAACCATACTTGTATCACCTAATAAGTCACCCTTTTTTAGCCCATCCCCTCTCCCCAGGTAATTAGTGGCACCCGTCCTTACTTTAAAACCCTAACCTTAGATCTAACTTAGATTCTAAGCCTAATATTAAACTTAACACTATTCTTAACATTTAGCTTAATATACATAAAAATTGGATAAAAATGGGTACGATTATTTAATAAGAGCAGATTTTTTTAATTAAAAAAAAGATACAGTATTGTTTCCTAAAAAAATGATTACTGGTGTGGGGTGGTGCTGAATAAACAGTCCCTAGTTACATTTAGAACCGTTCACCAAATAAACAGCTCGTGTGAGCGCGTGGGTAGGGGGGGGGGGGGGCATGTATCAATGCATGTTTATTGTGTCGGCTTGCTGGAAACTGTGATCGTCTGCTGACCGGATATTTTTTTAATGACGTCATGTGGCGTGACGAATCGTGACGTCAGGGTGGGAGAGGATGCGAGAGCCTAACCTCAACAAAGGAGGGGGGGGGGGGGGGCATGTAGGCATGGATTTATTTTACAAAGGCTACACTATCAGTATTTAGATCAACTACATTGCTACATTACATGTGTATATATAAAGAAAAAAAAAACGAAATACTTCAATGCTTAATATCAAATGAAACCTATGACCTACCTGTATTAAGTTTTAAAAATCACAATTAACGCCATTCAAATCTGATATAATGTTTCAAAGTCATCGTATATAAGTCATCGGATTTTTAACCAGTAACTGTTATTGATCTGAAGTTTATTAGGAAACAGCTTTTTACCAGTTCAATAACTTGCTAGCATCGATTTCTATTCACGGGCAATAATATCGGCCCAGTGTACCATTTGGTTGGGTACTTACTGAAAAATACCTCGAGTGAATGAAAAGTCTGGGGTATCAAAGGTAACAGGGTCTACTGAGTTGAATAGAAATAAGTGCAGAAGGTAAGACGTAGATCTATATTATACATCAGGTGCCCTGAAAACATTACCAATGCCGAACTGTGGAGAAAAACTGGGCAAGAAACTATTGGCAAAGAAATACAAAAGCGCTAATCGGGATGGATTGGACACAGTTTCTTCCAGGCACACCCCCCCCCCCCCCGAACGAAATGAAATTTATATAATTTATATAGAAAATATATACTTTTAACAGTGTCCGCCCCCCCCCCCCCCCCCGAGAAAAAAGTCTGGAAGAAACACTGATTGGACACACGTAAACCAACTAGCAACATCACCAGACAGGCACTAGATCTAGATCTAGATTGGAATCCCCAGTCCCCAAGGAAAGAGGAGAGCAGATAGACCAAAACAAACTTGGAAGATCAGTTGTCAGTGAGGCAGGAGCAGCTGGAATATCGAGGACCAAACTTGACCCAAACAAGAGGAATCGCCCAAAAAAACTGAGTACGATGGAGACGCGTGGTTGCGTCGAGAAGGTGTCCATCGGAATGATGATGATGTAGATCTAGATGGCAAAACTTAAACCCGAAACCATAGCCAAACCAATAGACCCCCCCCCCCCCCCCCCATAATGTAGAACAACGTCTGTATGCTAGGATTAGTTTAAAGCAATATGAATAGAAGATTTTTAATTGATCCTTTTGGATTCTGATTATAATAGCTGCGCGCTTGGCTTCACCCAGAATAGTATTTCAAAAGTCGATGGTACTTACGAAGAATGCTGACTTTTGGTGTAGTCATTAGTTAAGCGTCATTTAGTCTAATATCTAGATCTATAGCCCAAAATAAGTAGACACGTAGTGACGAAGTACTAAAGTCTATTAACAATTGTTCTGCTTGGCCTATGGCCTACTCTATTTGGCTAGTTAGATCAATATTTATTCTACAACTAGACTAGACATGAATAGATCTAGATCTAGATCTTAATAGAGAGTAATCTAGATTTTAAACCTAGAGTCAGCTGGCATAAAAACTAGAAATATAATCTAGATAGGCGCTATAGATAAATATTATTGTTATTTATGTTATAACTGGGATTAGCATAGAATAGAAAACTAGGATAGAATATGGTTTAAATCTTAATAGTGTTTATGGCCACACTACTATATTGTTTAATTGTAGATTAGATAGATCATAATAGCTGTAATAAGAATAACCCTTAGTGTATTTGATTGAACGTCCCCTTACTAGATACAAGTCAGAATAGCCTGTAGTTGTCCCAGTCGTAAAAAGTTCGAGTTAATGTATGCATAGGTCAAGCGCCCGCCCCTCGCGGGACTGCTGGGGTTAGGCAGGGTTTGGGTTACCTTAGGGTGAAGTTGGGGCCGTGCGAATGAATTAAGTTAGTGGAATGCTAGACTTGTTATCGTGTGGAAGTGTGTGTCTTGTGCTCCGTGGCAGAACTCTGTGCTAGTTTATTTCGTGTATTAAAAGTCTTAAAATCGTACGTGTGTTGGCGTTATTAAATCAAAGTTTAAACTGTTACCTCAACCCTCACTGCAGTCATCACCACCATCAAAACAAAGCACACAGATGACTACATAACAATTTAGTTATGGTAAATTCATTTTTAGTAATAGATCTAGAGATCTAGATTATATTCTACAATCAACTAGATTTAGATCTAGAATAGAATTAGAAAATAGATCTAAATCTATTACTAGGCCCAAAGATCAATAGACTCAATAGACTAGGAGTCAAGTCAGTCTAGTGACAGTCTAGTCTAAAGTCTACATTTGTGTTTATATTTGTCTGAAGCTAAAAGCTTAATAAAGATTCAGAATAAAGAAAATACAAATTAAATTAGTCACGGTTTGACCATCCGACCATCAATGTCAACAATGATTCAAAATCATTCATAGATCTAGAATCTATCTAGATCTAATATCAAATGACTGAATCTGGAAATCTAGTTCTGTCTTTAGCCTACTGTGTAGTGTAAAAAACAGTAAATAGATCTAGAATCTAGATCTAGATTACATCTAGATCTAGAACTAGAATCTAGATCTAGATTCTAGAGATCTAGATCTAGATTCTAGATCTAAGTTCACTTAAGACTTTAGAGTTTAAAATTAAAACAATAGAAATCGTCACAATAGGCTGAATATATTATTTGTTAATAATATAGATTCTAGAAAGGTCTACACTAGACTTCTAGATCTAGATCTAGGCCTAGAATCTAGGATAGACATAGAAAATCTAGATTCCTAGATCTAGATCTAGATTAGGACAGGAATCCACAAAATAATCAAGGCCTAGGCCCCTAATTTTAATAATTTACTAAAAACAAAATCAAAATGTCAAATTAAATAGGTATAAAAATAGAACTAATAGAACCAAGAAACACGCCTAACCTGTATCCGTCCCTGATCGTGTCTCCACTAACAACACAAATTTTGATGTAGAAATCCTAACGCCGTCTTGTTTGACAGAGCTGCTGTGGATAAATCCCATGAACCAGGCGCGCTAAAAGTGCATCCCGACACATGTCGACGTCACAGCGTGCGCCATTTTGGCCGTGTGTAGTTTCGCTACAAGCCGCTTCTCCTTCCCAGTTTAGCCTGGTAGCTTCCCTAGCCTAACCACATTATCGGTTTTACTCTTTTAAGCACGAATGTAAAAAAAAAAAATAATCGATGAAACAGACGGTATGTGATGAAACTCGATAAATAAATAATAATCCAGTTTGTAGTAAGCCAGCGAATTCAATGAGATAACAGGGCGAACGGTCCACAATGAGAGCCCGCTATCAGTAATAACAGTGTAGGCTGGGCATATGACACATCTACAACACTGTTGATTTTTTCAGATCCCGTCCTCGCGACCAGCGCGCGCTGTCCTCAGTTTAACCGGCATTGGACTCCCGTCATCCACACTGGGGCTAGCAGCACACCGCGGCAACGTGCGACACACCACACGCTGTTCTGACCTGCTTTCACTAGGTTGCCTTCCGTGCACCGCAACGCGCACTGTTCATAATAAATAGCCTGCCAAAAATGACGGGCAAATTGTAGCCCTTGTCCCCATTCTTCCTGCACTTTTTTAAAAAAAAAGAAAAAAAAAACCCACACCGCTTCGTGCCCTCTCCCCCTATAAACGCCTCTTCGCCCCCTGCTCACAAGGCTTAGCTTGTAGATGCAAGAGAGGGAAAAAGTCCGCCTCAACGAGTCACGCAGGCAAAGCAGCTTTCCTCGCGCGTTAGCTTTTTTTTTTCACCCAACGTCCTCGACCTTGGTAAATTTTGTTTGCATCGTCTAGCGCGACGGTTCTCATGATTTTATCCGATAGTACCTCGTTATCATAAAGTAATACAATTTTAAATATTTTCTTTCAAGTTAATAACTTTTAACGCTTACTATTTTTTAAAACACTACTTTAATTTATTCACAGATTAGACAAACTATTGATAGTTTTAAAAACAGCGGTGAAAGACTTCAATGATACATTTGACAACGATGTGTTAGCATCAAGAGTTTTAGATTCTTTGAATATAGAATTCCTTATTTTATTCCTATAAAAAATACAATTCTTTCTCAATGTACGTTAGGCATTATTTTTTTTCTTCTAATAATTGAACCCACGCAGTTATAAGGTAAAGAACGCAAATTATATTAAGGTTAAGGTTACGATTGGCTTTACAGCCAAGGTTAGGTTGACTTCTGGATTACAATTACGGTCAGCCTTAGGGTTGGTTTAAGGTAAATAATCAATCTTAGATTTAGTTATAGAATATTGGTATTTGCGGTAACATCAATAATCGTGTTGGGATACGTCAAATATAATATCAAATATTAAATCACCAAACACAGTTGACTTTACTCTTGGTGACCCCAGAGGTGACAAAAAAACTAGACCACAAAACGATACACCAGACTAACTCTTCTGGTATCAACAAACAAAATCAAATCAAGTTGTTCAAACCACGAGTAACCTGCCCCCCCCCCCCCCACCACTCCACACTCAAATCTCGAATCAAGCCGTAAACAACATAAGGGGATACACTACGTACACTCTTATAAATTATAAAATGTAAATTATTTATTGCACTCTGTCATAAACAAAGTAAAAAAAAAATAATTTAGAGAAACAAAAACTCGACAACACTAGCCAAGGATTCCCAAAATTTTAACTGAACATGATCTTCTATATAAAAAAAATATACATACAATGAATCTTATATTTTGTTAATGATTAAAAATATAAAGTAAATGATAATCTGATAAAATTACATGGAGATATACTTACCACAAATTAAGAACCACTGAAGAAAATAATGTACTTAAATCATAGCATTCCTTTATCTCTCCTGAAAGGTATGAGTTTGACGGTTGCTGATGAAAATTATGTGTTGGGGTGTGTGTATCCCCGTGGTGTGAGAACCGCTGGTCTAGCGCATGAAAGCAGGCCTATAAAAACGTTGAACTTAACGGGGACGGAATAATCTGTTTTCTTTCTCGCGCCAACCGTCCTTCACCTTCCTGAGGACATAAAAGGTTACGGGGAGGCCACCGTTCGCCGTGCTGAGATTAGCCGAGCAAGTACAGGCGAGCTTAAAGTTAACAGCCAATAATTTATGCGAAGGCGACGGCGTATTAATTAAGCTGGATTTCGTTAATTTAGGGTGGGGGTTGGGTCATTTTCTCTAACCCTATATATATATATATATATATATATATATATATATATATATATATATATATATATATATATATATATATATATATATATATATATATATATATATATATATATATATATATATATATATTCATATGTGTCCGTATATTTATTTATATAAATTCCATAAAGTTTTCTTATTGTAACTTTAATTTTTGGGTTTAATATATTTATTGTTTTGATACTAAAAGCAAATAAAAACGAACTTTGGGCGCCGTCGCTGACTGCTGTAACTTAGACAGTTTTGGGTGTCAGGGTGACCCCACTTCACCTCCCCCAACACTCTTCAGCCTACGCCACTGATCCAGACAATATGCAATTTTTAAACACCTCTAAATGAGGAAACAGAGAAGGGGCGTTGTTGACATAGGTAGCGTTGCAAGGTCATAATTAAGTCAACGCAACAACTAGACAAATGCGCATGCATGGTTACCGTAAAGACAACAGTTGACTTGACATAGTCTAGTCAATGCGGCATGAAATAGCCTCACGTTTTAGTGAGAGTATACACCTGGTTATCTCAGTGTTGAAATCACCATCTAGAATTATAGCGTTATTTTTTAATTTATTTTTTAAAATCTACATATAGGCCTACATAATAAAGCTTTAACATTTGAATTTTAATATTCTGTGTATCGATAAATGATCGCATAAATGATTATTGATTCACGGTAAGTAGCATTATTAGTCATCGTGGGTGGGAGGCTGAACACACAATGCTGATCCAAAAGTCTCTTCCAATTCTAGTGTATGATACTTTACTGAGCCTACTCAGCTCTGATCGGTACGTGGCAAGATTAATGGTAAATTAATAGTCGAATGGTAGAGCTTACGACTGCCTACCCGATAGTCTGGAGTTCGAATCCCGGACTCGAGTCTACAGGGCGTCCCAGTGTGCACTCAGCTCTGATGGGTACCCGCCTTTCGTTAGAAAAAAAAGGTGACCTAACATTGCACTGTCCTACAATCATATAACTGGACAAATAGGCGACCCTCAATCATACAGCTGGACTTATGGGTCATCCATTTATGACGTCCACAAGGGGGGGGGGGTGTCCGAAAAAAAAAAAGACTTTTAAGGACGCTTATGGACTTTTATAAGGGAAATAAGTGGATTTTTGTGGGCGGGGGGTCCAAAAAATCCAATAAATTGATGACCCCCTTACCACTGTCCCCACAACATTCAACTGAATATCTAAATCTAGGGGTGCTAAAATCACGTTAGACATTTAAAAAAAAAACAACTGTTGTTTCCATTAAAGGTTTTTATTTTTAAATATTAATAAACGTTTTTTTAAAACTAGAATTAAACGATAAACAAATTATTTTAAATTTTAAGCAGAGTGTTCTATTTATCCGCCTCTATTTTACGTTTCCATTATGCCTGATGGTTTTTATTTTAAAATATTAATAAACGATTTTTTTAAAACTAGAATTAAAAGATGAACAATTTATTTCAAATTTTAATCAGTGTGCTCTTATACCCCCCCCCCCCCCCCATAACGCAATCTGCCCTAGATTCGGAACACGGCGTTACCTTCGTTCAACACTCGACAGCCGGCCGCCGAGCTGCGGCCCGCCCCCACACACGGCAATCTATTTCGCTCCTGAAACACAAGGGTCGTGTCCTATTCCCGGCCGTGTGCTTGCACTTAATGTAATACCGAAAATAAATAGAACCACCTCCCCTTCCCCGCAATTTTTTTTCTTTCCACGTTTTTTTTCTTCTTTTTTTTTTTTAAATACGCCAGTGCGTGTCTGACTATGTGACATTATAATAAAGTTGCTAAACCCCACCCCCTTTCTCCTCCACTTCCACCCCCACCCCCCCGCTATTTACTGGATTCATTCGCTTGGAACGACGAGTGAAGCATTGAAGGCAGAATCGCATAAATAACCGCCACCGACCGTAGAAGAATATCGTAATTCATATTAAATAGTTTCGTATAAAAAGGGGAGATATAGTTTTTTAATAACGCACGTACACACACGTAGGCCTAGATAATGTGTACTATAACCAGGCCACGTAGTGTGAACAGGCGGGGAGGGAAGTGGAGTAAGATTAACTACTGCTATTTTAATTTATATCAAGCAACGTTGAATCGCGTTTCCTTTATAATTTTTTTCTCCCCCGTTAATCTTTATATATTTTTTAAAAGAAGGGGGATATGACGTAGTGGTTAGAGAGGGAAGGGGGAGAGAAAGGAAAAACACGATGACGTCGAGAGTATTTTTTTTCCCTCCAGCAGACATACTTATTTTTTTTTAAACTCCGCGCAATGACGTCATCAGGCTTTGTTCTAACGGTGGAAAAAAAATTATAAATAAAAAAGAAAAAAGAGGTAGAAAAATTCTGAAAAAAATCTGTTCGTGAGGAGAAATGAACAGGAAGAAAAAGGTGACCTTTCTAAGATTTACCAGCTCGACGGAGTAGTTTAAAGTGCTGGTGTACCTACAGACGCCAGTAGACAGGAAGATCGACTGATAAAAGTTCTTTTAGATTGTTGATAGGGTTACGTTACAAAACAAGTGCAGGCCGCCATTTTGGTTTTGATCGGCTGGCGAATATGAGGCCACCACAGGAAGGGGGCTTAACTCGACGTGTATTCACGAGTTGTTTGTTAGAGAGCAATGGTGGGGGGTAAGGGGGAAGGGGTCTTTATGGGATTTGCAAGATATAGATTTAAAAAAAAAATTACATGCGGTAATGCAGTTTTGAATTGATTTTTCTCTCCTTGTAAATGTACTGCTGTTAATGCGAAAAGATTATAAGATTAAAAATAAAACTTTAAATACCCCTTCAAACCAAATGGGTAATATTTTTTATTTAGGGCTGATGCTGATGAAGTAGAGTTAATCTCTTCACCGGAACTCGGTATGAGAAGGGAGTGAGTGGCCAAAGTTATGCCCAGTCAGAGGCGTAGCGACCCCTCTCGGCGCCCGGGGACAAACTTTCAATTGGCGTCCCCCCCCCCCAATATATTTTTTTATGTTTATAATTCAAAACTGCAGCTAAAATGAGCTTTTAATTATTTTTTTTCAAACCCATTTTGGCGCCCCTATGGTCGGCGCCATGTACCCCCCCCCCCTTCGCTACACCTCTGTCCCCAGTCGCCTGTATTTTCCACGGTTAGATTCAGGTACCCATTAGAGCTGGGTGGGCTCAAGTACGCCCTAGGTACTGCCGGCATCTGTCGGGCAGGTTAGGATTAGTGCGGTCGGTGTGGTTAGAGTGTATGTTTAGAGTTTGGGGGCTTGCGTGCGGATTGGAAGCATGGTTAAGGTTACTGGGGTTAGGGTTACCGGTGAACCCTATGCTTGTAAGTGCCTGCATGGGTATCCCCCCCCCCTC